TTGGTCTGAAATAATACACCTTGAATAGGTCTATAATCTCAGATCAAAGAAAACAATCTGGACAAACCCATGGTTCAGACAGAATTTCATAATAGTTACAATGATTATAAAAACCCAAGTTATGCCGTAGAATTCGGAACTTAACACGGAAATTCCGCTGCCGTCATGGACCATGTAAGAGGTTTAGTCAGTAACAGATGTAATCGCTCTCTATTACCCACAGAATTACGCGAATAATCGTAATCTAATTCAAGCATCAGAGGACCCTAATAAATCTCTTACAGCTCAGTAGATTTTTATAGACAGTAGAATTTGAGCAGCTTTTTTTTCTTTTCTTCCGAAATGATACCCAAGTAAAAAGTGTGATGAGTGAACTCTTGCAGGTGCGGGTTTCACGATTCCTATACGCTCTCGAATCAATTGGCCAGCAGACATTTCAATCTCCTGTCAAAAATAATATGTCATCTACAAATTATTGCAGTCTGAGACATAAATATTTAGCTCTCCGCAATATTTAGGTTAACTCAATAAGTTATCTCCCGGCCAGCAAGGAGTCTGATAGTCCATTACAGTTGATACTGATAGACCTAATAGTAGGAGTTAGTTACCGGCCCCCTCATGTATTACGGCTCATCTGGGCCCCATTAGAACTAAGTCCCCAAAAATTGCCCTGAAGCAGTGGGATCGTCTCAGACTAGATAACAATGTGACAAAACACTTGTACAGTGCTAGTGATGCTGAATATTTGCTGATTTTATTCAAGTCAGATCTATTTCAATATGACTGCTAAATGGCTGGAATATGACTGGAAGGAGTAGGAGGGTGTGTTGGATCATTTGTACGGTATTTGACACCGGAACTCAGACCTTTAGGACACTGGTTAACAATTTGAGTTCATACTTCAGTTTCTGTTTTGGTTAAGTCTCGCTCTCAAAACCCATTTTAGTCCTCGCTTTCAATCCCTCCTCTTTTTAAAAACTGTCATCTAGATTGTTAATCTGTTATCTAGACCTGTTATCTAGAGACCCTGGACCTTATCACCTGTTTCTTGCAGGCAGCTCCTCCGGCACGTTTATTATAGCTAATACGGAACAAACAATGGTGACAAAAGAGCTACCCTTCTAGCCCTCAGCCTCGTAACATTTTCAACAATATAATTATCACTCTCAGTATCACCAGTATAATGCAGGTTTAAGTAAGATTATCTTGAATCACCAGACAGTGACTGACCAATGACAAAGACTAAAATATCCCACGTGATCAGAACTCAGCCAGTCGGAGCGGGGTACTTCCCACCACGTGACACCTACTCCATGTGACACCTGCACTGTGATAATCATATCGGGAGTTGACGGCTGATAATTCAAAGATTTTACGAGAAGGATTGTTGGGCAATAATTTCGGCCAATCAGGGCGAAGAGGGGTCTGACGGACCAATACAGGCGAGACAGTTTTTGTGTGATTGGCAGAAATGGGTTGTTATGTACCGTGAAAGAAATCTATCCTATTCTCAATCTGTATTTTTTGAACTTTTTCTGAGAAATTAAGGTTTCATTTCAGATAATTTCTTTTTGAGAGCAGGGAGTTTGAGCGAGGAGAGTGTCGAATCAAAGATTATGATGTTGAAACAGATGTCTTTAGGATTCAGTCATTATTAAAGCATTATGGTAGAACTAGGCGAAATAACAGTAATTCCTGTGAACTACGTGTCTGTAAATGGTAAATTACTTTGACGTAGCATTTCGGATCCGCAAGACAAAATTTTATAGAACACATTATACTTTGCACAAAGCCGATAATATGACGAATTAGAAAACTCAAAAAAGTTGGATTTTTGACTTATCTAAGGACTCTATTTTGGGTTGAGAGAATACCGAAGTGCTTTTCCCTGAAATTCTTTTGTCGGATCGGATTTCAACGCTAATTATCAACAATAATCATCTAATTATTGGTTAATTACTTTCATGATAACAATAAATTTTAACGGAAGTTAAGATTGAATTGTTTCTGAAACCATGGGAAACAGAATGTTAACTAATAGGTAATGAAGAGCTGATTAGTGCTGCGGACCAAGCTAATGAGCACACTGCTAACATCAACCCAAGCAGCTAAAGTGTTCACTATTATTATTACTATTAATCGCTTCCATTAATTAATATTTAGAGCCGCAGCAAAGATTAATTCTAATCCCTGGAAATTGGGCGTGTTAATTATTAAAGTACAACAAACTCATCCGATTGGGTTATCCAGCACACGTGACCCATTTCCTGGCTTGCCATTGGTAGATCACTTGAACTCACTTTATTGAGACTGAATTACACAACGAATTTACTTTTTCCTTACCCAAGTCTCGCTCACGATCTATAATAGTATTTCAATAATTGGTGCAGTTAGAGATGGCAGTAGATACGTTAGAGATCGCAGTAGATCCACTGGTTTGTCTGATATCATTTTAGAGCTCAACATAGAGAAACTTAAGCTACTGTGATATTATTATGATATTATTATTAATCGATATCTGTAATATGTATCCTATTGAATGAGCATGTGATGCAGCATAAATCAACATTTTATCATATCGCTATCAAATTTATTCACTATAAAAGTATAAAAGTTATTCGATATCATTACATAAGTGAGATGAATGGTAACAAAGTATCCATTTGCTCGCTTTATTGATCAGAGTGCATTAGGTTTATTAGAATTCACAGTTTGTCCAACAGAATATGATGAGAGATCAATGGTACTGCTAGAGATAGATAACACCTATAATAAAAAGTTATATATCATCATGAGGGTTACTTAGGAGTACTTTGGTATAAATCGTAACATCAGCTAATTCAACACGTGTAGTATACTATATACCCACTTACCACCCGAGCTGGATCCTGATTGGTCGGATTTGCGAATACTGGCTCGTGATTGGTGGTTATTATTGAAAGCGGAGCTGATAATGGTGATATACTTATGAGAATGCTTGATCGGTATAACATAAACACATCGTTTGATCGACTGATAAATTAAACTCGCTTCAGTAAAGCAGTATGCTTGCGCTCCGTGAATCTGCTCGGCCAATAATCCGTCTTTGTAGTGATCACGTGATTCAATCGACCAATCACACGTCTGGTTTCACCTCACGAGACAAGTTTTGTCACCAATAACGTGTGGTTGTCATGGTAATGTGGTGAATTTTGATTTTGACACGTGCTGTGCGGTGCCAGGGTAACCCGATTTTAGGGGACCACTTTTAAACAATGTTTAGATCTAATTCTGAGACCAGCAAATCAGAATTCATTGCCATGTCACGTGCCTGTATAGAGGGACCGCTAGAGTGATACATTTATTTGAATTATACTGCCAAATTTTCATGAAATTAATACAAGGGTGAGAAAGAACCAAAAGTAGGGTGGTTTCAGGCAGGTAAAACAGGCAGCCTACTTTAATCTCGAGCGGTTACATAATATTTGGGTTTGGATCTATATTTTTAAGATCGCACCCTTATATACCAGAAAACAAAGATGTCAATATTGCCATTATTGTGCGAGGGATATGAGTAAAACTACTCTAAAATTTCATCATATAGTTGTATCTATGTTATTGAGGTCATTTCCATCAATTTTCTGCTTTGAAGTGGATAAATTATTGCCATAACCCTGTTCCGAATCCATTATAGAAACTGTGTTACGTTTTATAGTAGTAACGTACGTTATAGTAGTTCATTTATCACGAAAAAATATCTTGTGATAAAAGTTGATTCTTTATCATTATATATAAAGGTATATATTAATATATATATATTTATATTGACGATAAGTAATAAAAAGCTTTAGTTCCATTTGATCGATCTTCAATGACAAAATACTCTGTTAAAATCAGTCAACTTATATATTGTCGCACTTCAATCTATGCCGTCACCACGGTCCGACCGAGGGAGATTCGGCCAAAGGAATAACAAATTTACACTAATTCAACCTGTTGACTACTAATTTGACCAGATATGGGTAAATAACGTCAGGAGCGGAGAGTTTCAAAACGTGACTACTTGATTTGTTATAAAGAACTAACTGATCGGTTGATCGAAACCTCAATCTGTGCTTATAAGAGCATATTTTTAATCAAGACTACCATCCAACTTTGATATCATACTGTCAATATTTTAATCACAAAATTCATGGAAATAAATTTCCACACAAAAGATTACATCATGTCCCTTGTGAACGATTATTGGCCTGATGATTTGCAGGGATATGTCGACTCAAAACATAATTGCTGTTTGTGAACTGAGATCTCGAGATTTATGTTGTTGTGACTAAAATATTTTGGGAGATGTCTCTTTTACACTGGTAATGGAATACAGTTCGTGACACCACTTTACCACAGGGTTAATCTTAAAAACTACCTTCCTGAAATTTGAACATGTACCACTGTCTGACAGTGTTCTAAACAACAGGGCTTCTAAACCAATCACAACGCTTGAAACCAGACACGTGACTGAATTGGCCAATCAGAGTGACGCATTTCTAGCCCCCTGTCTCACACGCTCCCAATTAGGGATCTGCAGGAAAATAATTAGCAAGTGAAAATTAAATAATTAGAAGATCAAAAGAACGTTGTGATAAGAATAATTACAATAATTACGGTGATAATTGGTGGAATTGTAGGGACAGACAAACTAGGATATTTTTGCCATTCCTTGGTGAATGATTGTATATTAATTGGATGTTGGCAAATATTTTAATAATGAGGAGATCATTGATTTATTATTTAGATTTCCTGGAAATGTATTATCAAACAATAAGAACATGCTGAACTTGATATCTGGCATAACCTCACTGAGCTATTTAATTATTTTTGGCATCTCAAAATTCACCCTTCACAGTTCGCAGGAGGAGGAATCCATTGCCCACACTTCTCAATCACTTTAATTTACCTTAATCACCCGATTCTCTATTCACTCCGCCGATTTCGGTGTTACCGATATTGACAATGACTAATTTCAGATCACCGGTGAACATGACCTGAACAACTCGAACATTCTCTCACGTACACTGGAATACCCCCTTTCTTGGCGGCTAAACGACCGTGCAACTGCTGCCCAGCTCATCGCTGCTAAATACCACCATTTTGGAGCTCCGACTGGACAGAGGTTAGTTCTGATACGATTTCCTTGCAAACAAGTTAGTTTAGGGGTTATCAAAAGGGAATTATACGTACAGCGCGAGAGCGTTTTGTAATAACAAGTTGGACTATTGACTGATGTGGTTGACATAAATCTTGCGCGCGCGTTCGTAAAAGTGGATCAGATTGTAAATTTTCGGTATTTTTTCGGCATAGCGACAAAATTACCCTTCGTGGATACCCAACTGCCTTATTACGTACATTTTAATATGTTTACAGACATTTACTGCTCTTCTGGACTAATCCAACTTACATAAAAATAAGTAACACTTTTTTCCAGTCTCTTCAGAATTAACAAGTTTTTCCTGAAGTTTAGATCCATGAAATTGGTTAAAAACACCGAACAGTATGAAAATAAAACAGCTGCAGTTACAGTGCACACTTTAGGGCACACGTCTTCTCCACATGACACACGCCCTTGTCCCTAATTTGAGGCTCACGTGTACCGGCGGCAACTACAATCAAATTCACAAAATTTGTGTGCCCTATTTCAACTAATTTACTTTCAAAAATGTTTGAAACACGTAGGAAGTAGCCGGGTACAATAAAAATCAAATTGTCACCTCTTTTGTGCACTGCTCATTTGGATTACCCTGCGTGGCAAAGCTGGAGTTGCCTGGCTTAAATGCTGCTCAGCCAACCAGTTGCCCGGGTTACACAGGGTTACCGGCTCCCACGGTCCTACGCTGTAACTAATAGACAATAATCAAATAATAGGGTTAGCAGCTACCAATTATCACTCAAGCATGGCAGGTGTCCACAAGCTCATAATATGAACTGTTCTCCATAACTGTTCCGTGATATTGCAGCTGTGCCAGTGGCAGTAGATAAAATATTTTATCATTCTGCGAGTGACCGCTGAGGATCTTGAACTGTAAATTATTCAGAGGTTGTTTCAGAAAATAAAACACATTACACATAACGTCAGTTTATACCGACAGCTGTTATTTGAGTGGCACAACAGCAGTCAGAACGTCACCGTATATTCGTCAATCATTGCACGGAAACTAGTTTCAGTGTCTCCAATAATCTACAGAGTTGCATTTTTAATTAAATTGAGCTCCTCCGCCCTTGAGGCGAAGTTCGAGCGCCAAGGACCACTCACATCTTCGACCGTTTCATTAAAATGATTTTTAAACTCCATGAAATTAAACTATCGGCCCCAGCAATAAAATCGGCTCGCTATACTCGATTGAATAGTTTCGCGATATAAAACTTTGATGTGATTAAACCTTGGTTACAACCAGTGAATTAGTTCTCATTGGCTCGTCGAAAGTGGGCCCTCTTTTTTAAAGATGAGGCGTTTAATTTTTTATGATATGAAACTGCAAGTACTGCGTCCAGACTTTCTGTTTAATAAAGAACATGAGAGTGATGGTTTTAATGATAGCAGCTGCCAGTTTTCATCACAATTTTATCAAAATGGGGAGGGTTCAGAGCAAGTTGCATCTAAAACCATCGCCTAGCTCGTAATCTTTTAATAAACTTAATGTCGCCATCAGTGCTAACCCCTCGTGACATCCAGTTTAAGAACTGAGACTGCTGCATGATAAAGTATTATGCCATAGCGCGACTGTATTCCTTAAATGTTCTAATATCATTTTAACACTTCAAGAATTTCTTCATCTGCGAAATTATTGGTAGTTAATTGTAGATCATCCATAAGGAAAAGTTTGTGATAGAAGGTTACATCAAAATCTCGAGTCTCAAAATTATAGATAACTTCTTCTTTTCTTTCTAAATTTCAAATCCTCCTCAGAAGAAAGAGAACAGCGTTCAGTCCGGCCACAACCCTAGCCCTGGAACAGTTTGCTAACAGTATCAACTGGAAACGAGGCGAAAGTGAGAAAATCAACGAGTTTGCTCAGAAACACAACCTTACTTTCTACCAAGTCAAGGTAGATATAATTTACATCATCTTTAAGTGTGTTCATTGCCGTCATAATTAATTCGTAAGATATTCAGATTATGACGGCAATTGGTTTATTAACTCTTGAAATGAATTGTTTTTAACAAAGTTGTAGTTTAACTAAAATGATAATAATTGTAATAATTTCCCAGGTATGGATGAACAATCACAGACCTCGTAAAAATAACATGAACTATGTGCCCCACCCTTATCTAAAGGACAACAAACACTTCCTACCCTCTCGTGATCTTAGCAAGGTAAAACTAGATCTCTCTTCTTCAGGCTGATTAGCTAGTAATGATAATTATACGAGTCTACAGTGGCAACATTGACTATTCAGACTAACTACATTGACTGATGTCTACTGTTTAACTAATACCGGTTGTTTACCAGGTAATACAAGCTCTGGGAGACACCAGAACGGATGCGTTTTCTTTCCAGAATCTGGCAAGCAGTGGATTACAGTACAATCTCCCTATCCACTCCTCAGCTCTGACCTCAGCTCTCCCTCCCCTTACATCAGAACAGGTAACTTTACATAGCTGCCCATCACATTGCTTCTGATATTGTCATATCTTTCAGTGAAGATAGCTTACACTGAATCAAGCCCTACTACTCTACTATAGGCTTTGTTTGTTCAAGTCCACAAAGTGACCCTAACATTTTCTGCTGATTTAATTAGCTAAGATAACTAACTGAATCTGTCAGCAGGAGCAGGTGCACAGCAGTGCGTTTACCAGTGTCAGTAACGTAGGCAGTCCTGACCAGGGTCGAACAGTCAGCACCACACCTACAGACAAAGTAGCTCCAGCAGATATAGTCTCCAAGTGTGATCCTCTCTCCAGCTCTATCAGCTCTACTTCCTCGTCTGACCTCTCCAAGTTCTCCAACACCCTTTCAACCTCGTCCTTTGAGAAGTTTCCCATGGGAAATTTCCCGCTTTCGTCCCAGTTCCCGGCTATCACCACGACCTGCTCGCCCTTCAGCGGTGAGCTGATCTTTTCCAACGGACTCCTCGGCTCTGACAACAGAGACATCAGTCAACTTTTTAGCAGCGTGAAAAACAGCAATGTTAATGATAGCGCGAGATAGACATTTTACAAGATTATTATTATCATTTGCTTGTTTGATTTTGAGTTGAATTGATTTGCGGTTGAGACCAGCTGTGAATTAAGTTGAAACTGACCGATTCTCTAAGGAATCGAGAGAAGAACTGAGGGTGAAGACACGATAAGATAAATTGTGAATAGAAGATAAGAAGGACCTATTTGAGGGCCTGACATTACCTATTTGAGGGCCTGACATGACCTATTTGAAGGCCTCACATGACCTAATTGAAGGCCTCCCGTGTTTGGGAAAATTACTTTGAGAATTTTACCTGATCATCATACCCAGTTATTTTATAAATTTCACATGTTTTAAAACAGTTCATTTTCATCATTCCGAGCATTAAAAACAAGCTTTGACATGTTCTTATTGAATTCCATCTTGATCTAGCTGGTTCTAAGATGATAACTCGACCTCAAGTGAAATGAATTTGTTTTTAGCCCCTTGTCGCAATTTCATCAATACGTTCCTCGTGCAAATCATGGTCGCACCATGGATAGATATGAACGAACAATATTAATTTGCATTTTTCAACTTGCGGCATTTATAGGTCGTGTGAGTGGTAGAAATGACTGAAGCTGGAAATGCCGATAATGCGAATGTTAAGTCTTCCCAAATGCTAATACCCTTACAAATTGTTATGATGCTTAAGTTAATAAGTGATAAAGACAATTGAATTCAAAATTATAATGTATTGCTTATAAATTGCTGTTTTATTATTTGTTTTAGTTTAAAGCCAATCATCGCTTTTTCAATTGTTTACTCAACGAATTTTTTCTTCTGCCTTTAAAGGAGTGCAGCTACAAACCATGTGGCAGTCATTTTATTGCACGCCTAATATATCAAACCTCAACAATAACGAAAAAAGCGTCATACTTGTAGTAATACTAACTTAACAACAAATTTAGTCTACCATAAATTTAGTCAAATTTTTTTACCTGTCACGGTACCGGTCACAGTACTGTTCACGGTAGAGTGCGAGTGGACGCAACAGTGAATTAGCTTAAACCGCGTTATTTTTGAAATGCTATTCTTAGTCCGAAACGCTAACAACCATTTTAATGTTAGAAAAATATTTAAGTATTGAAACTGCATCATCATCAACAATCAATATTCAAGACAAAGTGAAAGAATGGAATACCGGGTCCCGAGACCCGAAATTCAAAATTGTAGTCAGTGTTTAGAATTGTTCTCTTTTTTGCTTTTTGGAAGAATATAAACAATGTCAATAACAATAATGAATTTTGAAAAATCTCGTCACAACTATTTCTCCCAAAACCCTGCACATTGTAAACGGTACGGGAACGGTACTGGTCACAGTACATACTGAGGAAAAGCTTATTTAACATTTGATTTATCTGCAATGATAAAGTGATGTGATGTGATTGTACGGTACTTGAAACGCACTGAGTGCTGATACGGTTTATTTAATACCTCAAAGAAATTCATTATTTGTTACTCAAAGCTCTGACTATAGTGTTCGATTAAATAGGTGCTGTTTGAAGAAAAAAAACGCGTACGTTGGAGACACTTAACCTTAATATAAGATTTCCTAAATCGCCACCTGTGTAGTGGGACGGTATTGTGATCTAAATTGTTAGATTGAATTATCGGCTTCAGGTATCAAATTCAACAAGTTTTCAAACTTGCGCTCACAACTATATGAGTTGGACAAAGGCAAAGTTTTTGTATCCCATTGCACATGGGCAACAATGAACAATGATTAAATTTTGATAAAACGTTTTTTTCTCTATTTTATGGTTTTTCTTAATCTTATTAATGGTTCCATCTGAGTACAATAAAGATTGAGTTAATCAATTATCCGAACTCAAGCCACGTAGATCCACGATCGAGACTATAAATATGACTTGACCGGAGATAAACTCATAACGTTTAACTAAGATTTGACAATGAAGCTGATCCTACTTATTTGTATTACTCTTGCTGTGGTGTCCGGACTGAGGATGGAGAAACGTGCCCCTCCTATCTGCAAAACTGGAGACAGAATCTGTCCTAATAGATGTCTCAAGAACAGTCAGTCCTGTAGTGGAGCTCAACTGCAGACAGAAGAAGTGAAGGAGCTGGAGAAGAGATGGGATAAGTGGGGCGAGTGCCCAGCAGGGGAACACTGGTGTAGAGCCAGATGTGTAGATGGCAAGTCATGTTTTTAATCAGCAATTAACCTTTTAATGTGTTGTTTACTTATGCATTTTAAAATTTATTATTTATGTGTTTGATTTGCTTCCACAAAGTTGTTCAGAAAATCGAATTGATGGATTAGCCAAAAATTACTCTTGACCAAACAAAAGGAAATGATATTAATTTGAATAACTGTCCGCAAATGCAAAATGATACGAAGAATGATTTCGGTAAATATTGCACAAACACTTCAAGCTTCATAGAGGTAAGGACTGATCTCGTATAATTCTGCAAACGTTTTATCTCGAATAAATGTTTAGATAGGCAATCAGTGACTAACAGTCTTGTAGTGTGTAATATGGAAGAGGCAAGTTGTCGTTGAACAGCAAAAATCAACAGGGCTTAATAATGTGCAACAATTTGGCACGAGGTAATTGATACCACTACTAGGTACCACGAGGTAATTGATACCTATACTGTACCAGTACTGGTGGTGTCTGGGCAGTGTCAGGTCAGCAGGAGGCCCGACCAATCAAGACAACAGATTGAATCCTGAACGAATAAACACAATTAATATTAATTTGGACTGCAGCGATGAGCACCATATTATTTGAGTGAAATAATTTTATGCGTCAACATCACAACATATTCACGATTGTTTTTGGCTCAGATAATTGAGTGAAATCGAAAAGAGAGACTAAATACAATTAGGAATTAATTATATTCGGACTGCAGCGATGAGCACCATATTATTTGAGAGACCCAACAATTTAAACATATTTTATTTTGCCATATTGTAGCAGAATAATGGTAATCAGCTTAAATCATAATTGATTTACGAAATACCCAAACAGTTAAGATAATACCTGTAAAGTTAAAATGAACGAGGAGATTTTCATAATTTTCAATAGGATTTCATTCTGAAGAACTTAAGTATTTATGCTACTAAATTGTTATGTTCTGTAGATTTCTATGATATTTTGGCTTTTTTTAATTACTTTATGTTGCATTTACTTTTGAGCAAGTTATTAGGTAATTTTTCAAAATTGGGTCAAAAAAGAACCACAAGGTTGGTCATGGGTATCAGTTTAATGGTCATCTGCTATCTCGAAAACGAGTTTCGCAATAAATTGGGGGTGCACCCTGTCCCCTGTCCCCTGTCCCCTGTCCCCTGTCCCCTGTCCCCTGTCCCCTGTCCCCTGTCCCCTGTCCCCTGTCCCCTGTCCCCTGTCCCCTGTCCCCTGTCCCCTGTCCCCTGTCCCCTGTCCCCTGTCCCCTGTCCCCTGTCCCCTGTCCCCTGTCCCCTGTCCCCTGTCCCCTGTCCCCTGTCCCCTGTCCCCTGTCCCCTGTCCCCTGTCCCCTGTCCCCTGTCCCCTGTCCCCTGTCCCCTGTCCCCTGTCCCCTGTCCCCTGTCCCCTGTCCCCTGTCCCCTGTCCCCTGTCCCCTGTCCCCTGTCCCCTGTCCCCTTTCCCCTGCACTTATAGAGGTGTATGTAAGTTTATTTTATCTGTCAATTTAAAGTTTGGGTTTGGAAGATTTTTAAACTGAAAATAACGATTTATTTTCATCGTGAACTCATCATGCAGAAAGGGTAATTATGAATTAGATCCTAATTACGTAAAGACAATTCAGCTAACCCAATTTCCTGTTCGTGTAACAAATAATGTTTTATACCTCCTGAAAATTTTCTTATCGATTTCTAAGAGTCCATATTCTGCACTTACAGCTGCATGCTGCAGAATACGGTACGTGCAACAGAATTATGTAATAATTTAATCACTGGGTCGCAAGATACTTTACAGACGAAAACCTTGATAAGAAATGGGGTCTTACTCTAATGGTTCAGACCCGCTTGTTCAGCCCTCTTTATAGGGAATAAGACTGGTTGTATAATTCAGCAAACGTCTTATCTTGATTAAATGTTTAGATACGGCAATCAGTGATTGGCAGTTATGTGCAATATGAAAGAGGTAAGTTGAACAGCAAGAATCGCCATGTCCCGCAACGTGCGTTGTCTGCCAGTATCAGACTCTGCCGTTATATTGCCAGTTGCCACCCTGTTGCCGGGTCAGTGGTCACTGCTAAGTATAATGGTGATCATAATTGATTTACAGAACACCCTCAAAATTAAGATAATACCCGTAAAATTAAGATAAGCGATGTGATTTTTAAACTTCTCGTTGAGATTTCATTCTGAAGAACGGTAGTAGAACTGTAGTAGTTATGTTCTTGACATTTTTAGGATCTCCAGTTTTCTTTGATATTTCATTTGAAACCAAATTGATTCACCTTATGTTGTTCAGCAAAAGGCTAAACTTGTAATGTTAAATTAGTTGTAAATAACCTTATCGTTTGGTTCATTTCAAGAAAGCGTAATATGTAGTAATAATTAGCATATTAGTAATAATTAGCATAATAATAATAATTAATCGAGTTGTATTGATACTGGGTTCGGGATAAACCATATATCACATTTTAAAATGACTCCCGCTAGCTTTTAACGAAGATTATGTAGTCAAATTATAACCCCTAATTTTATCACTAGTTCCCTAGTAGTTCTCCAGAAAGTATGACGGAATCAAAGAATGCTGACAAACTTGAAACATCTGCCGAAATTCCCGCTGCTAAATGGGACATAGCTTCCTTTTCCCCGACTAAAAAAAGGTTCCTCTTCCTTGCCATGTGCCTCTTCCACCTGCTAACCTTCGTCTCGTTCCATATGCCCTACTCTTACCTCCCGCTCTACAATGAGAGCAGAGAGATCTCCACCTTCTGGACTGGGCTGATACTTGGATCAACTTCTTCAGGAATGGCGGTGTCGTGTGGGGTGATCGCTCCTGTCGTCATGTCCAAGTTTTCAACCAGAATCGTCCTTTCGGGGGGCTTAGCTGGCCTTGGTATCTCCCTATTACTCTTTAGCGTGCTGGATTCCATCGAGAATTTGGTGATTTACCAGATTCTGTCTTTGATATTCCGATTTTCAGCCGGAGCATTTGGTGGCACTCTCAACGTCACCATATTTGCCGCTTACTTAGCCATCTACCCCGAGTATGTTGGCACTGTCACAGCAATTGGGGAGGCCTTTATTAACGGAGCATGTGCTTTAGGGCCCTTTTTGGGGGGAGTCCTGTACGATGCAGGCGGTTTCACTGCAGCTTCTGTCTTTCCAGGTGCACTGATATTTGTGAGTGCTATCCCGGCTTTCTTCCTTTCTAGTCTTAACAGCAAGAAGAGACGAGCTGGTGAAGAAGAATCAAGCTGGACCAGTATCTTGGATCCTCTGGTTCTATTCCCACTGTGGCATCTTGCATCTGCTCTCATCCTCGTCAGCTATCCCATGCCTCTTCTTTCTCCCTACGCAGAAGAATTCTTCAACGCGGACGTCGTCTGGTCTGGGACCGCTCTTCTTGCCACTACGGGGGGTATCTGCATTTTCTCACCAATCATCGGGCTGGCGATAGACAGGTACGGTCCTTGTAAGATGTTGATGGCCTCCTGTGTGAGTTTACCCTTGGTGTACGCCTTTGTGGGTCCTCTCCCGCTACTCTCCTTCATCACTCCCTCCAAAACCCAAGTCATCCTCTCACTTGCATTGCTAGGATT